TCAAATAAAGATGAGGAACACTCTCTAGAATTGTGGTTGATATCTATTGGTACTGTGTACCAAGCACGAATGTAAACAATTTATATGTTTTCACACTTGCATCCTCACAATCCCACGCAGGCTACACCATTACTCTCATTATGCTACAGGTAAGGAAATCGAGTCCCAGGGAGAGTTATGTTTTATCTTTATCTGTTTAAGTAATTTGCCCAAGACCACAAAGATAGCAAGTAAAAGAGTCAGGACTGGAATACAGACAAGACAACGCTAGTCACAGAGTCACTCTATTACACGATGACACAATCAGATAGCCCACTTCAAATCCTAGAGCACTGTTTCGCATGCATTAAAAGGAAGCAATGTTGGATGCATTACTGCAACCTTAGAAGCAGTAGCTTACTCTAATAGGTTCTTTCTGTATAAGAATTAAAGGAACCTAACTTCAAGTCATTCAAGGATTAGAGGCCCATTTCACTGGCTCACTGGTAAGTCAGGGGTACCCAGAGTCACTGCTAAACACCTACAGCACTATTCCCATACCGACCACTCTAACCTTACCTACTACTGTACCTGATAAAGTGCTGGTTCTTTCAGTGCCAAAATAACACCAGCTAACGTTACTGAGTTGAGAACTACCAATCAAAACGTGAACTTCAGAATCTACGAATGTACCACCACTACACTATCATAAAAGTGACTACGCCATACAAACCATCTCACATTAGAGCCAACTCAGAGATGCTTAACCATTCATATATGAAGGGCCTTGAACATCACTTTCAGGTTGTTCAAAGGATTTTACTGGAATTCATAACAGCTCCTGGATCATCTAGCATCCACAAAACCCCTAACTATCTCCAGTTCTACATTTCTATATCCTATTGTAGTTGCTCAAAGGAATTACTTATGAAAGAAATATGCCTTCTAAGTAGAAGAGCTCAACAATTCTGTAATTAGAAAATGAAGGAAAAAATTTCCAGTTTTCTAAAAATGTATTAAAACTGAAAAATATCAACTAATACTCATGTCACTTAATAAGAATACGATGGGATTGAAGTGCACAGTGTCCTGTCTGCACAGAAGTGTTTCAGGTATTTCAATAGATGAGTGTTTCACACATAACTACAGCACACAGACACCCTCACACACACACAAAAGTAACAGAAGGCGTGTGCATTTAGCCTAGTGGCTAAGCTACCAGTTAGGAAGCCTATATCCCTTACAAGGGTGCCTATTTTCAATTCCCAGCTCATATTCCTGATTCTAGCCTCCTTCTAATGCAGACCCTGGGAACCAGTGGTGACGACTCCAGTAGCTGGGTTCCTGCCACCCATGTGGGAGATGTGGACTGAGTTCAGGGCTGCTGGCTTACATCTCAGCTACTGCAGGCATTTTGGGAGTGAGGAAGCAGATGGGAGCTCTCACTCTGACTCTCAAATAAATAAATTGATTCATTTTTAAATTTCAAAATAGAACAAAAATATTTTATCAGCCAAGAATGTCCACAAATTTGCAGCTATAAAACCACCCTTCCTATGACAGTTTGTCTGAATTCTCCAGTTATTTTCTTTAGAAAGAGAGAAGAGAGCTCTGGAGTACCTTAATAAAAATAAGCATCCCAGGGATTCATGAGCCTGGGTTAAAAGAACACTCTGCTGATATACAATTTGGGACATGCTCAAGCTGACTTGCCCCAAACAGTAGAGTTAGAAACATACCAGGAGATTCCAATTCAATCCCATCAAGGTGGCATGTACCAATGCCATCTCACTAGTCCAAGTGATCAATTTCAGTTCACAATTGATCATAATGATAGGATTAAGAGTCAAAGGGATCACATAAACAAGATTAGTGTCTGCAAATACTAACCGATAGAATAAAAAAGGGAGAGAACGATTCAAGATCGAGATACACATCGAGATACACAGCAGACTCATAGAATGGCAGATGTCCTGAACAGCACTCTGGCCTCAGAATCAGCCCTTAAGGCATTCTGATCTGGCTGAAAAGCCCATGAGAGTATTTCAGGAGTGGAAAGACAAGACACTCTGGGGGTAAAAAACGGACCTAAATGAAAGATCTCCGCGAGTGAGATCCCGGTAGAAAGAACAGGTCATCAAAGAAGGAGGTACCTTTCTCTGAAGGGAGGAGAGAATTTCCACTTTGACTACGACCTTGTCTAAATATGATCAGAGTCGGTGAACTCAAAAGGCTTCCATAGCCTTGGCAACTCATGACAAGAGCCTAGGGTGATTACTGATGCCATAAACAAGAGTGTCAATTTGTTAAGTCAACAACAGGAGTCACTGTGCACTTACTCCTCATGTAGGATCTCTGTCCTTAATGTTCTGTACATTGTGATTTAATGCTATAACTAGTACTCAAACAGTATTTTTCACTTTGTGTTTCTATGTGGGTGCAAACTGTTGAAATCTTTACTTACTATATGCTAAACTGATCTTCTGTATATAAAGAGAATTGAAAATGAATCTTGATGTGAACGGAAGGGGAAAGGGAGTGGGAAAGGGGAGGGTTGCGGGTGGGAGGGAAGTTATGGGGGAGGGAAGCTATTGTAATCCATAAGCTGTACTTTGGAAATTTATATTCATTAAATAAAAGTTAAAAAAAATAAAGAACACTCTGCTGTTATGTTCTTTGTTCTCTTATCAAAGACACACAGTTTTAAGTAACTATCTAGACCTATACTGTACTAAGAATACAGCAGTCATTAAGACAAATAATTCCCTACCTTCAGAGAGATTTCACTCTAGTTTTAAGAATTTCCTGTTTCCTTATCTGTTTTTTCTTTTTTTTTTTTTTTTTCTTTTTTTGACAGGCAGAGTGGATAGTGAGAGAGAGAGACAGAGAGAAAGGTCTTCCTTTGCCGTTGGTTCACCTTCCAATGGGCGCTGCCACAGCTGGCGTGCTGCGGCAGGAGCCAGGTACTTCTCCTGGTCTCCCATGGGGTGCAGGGCCCAAGCACTTGGGCCATCCTCCCCTGCACTCCCGGGCCACAGCAGAGAGCTGGCCTGAAAGAGGGGCAACCGGGACAGAATCCGGCGCCCCAACCGGGACTAGAACCCGGTGTGCCGGCGCCGCTAGGCGGAGGATTAGCCTACTGAGCCGCGGCGCCGGCCCGTTATCTATTTTTTCTTAAGTCAATTACCACTGCTTTCTTACACGGTGAAAACACAACATCTTTGAGCCGCATGGTGATAAGTGGGACAGAATAAAAATTGTTCACTACACACCCTGAGGGCTTCTCTTATGGCTCCTCAAAGAACTAAATGAGCACTAAGACACAAAAGGACTGAGAGAAAAATTAATGCTGCCATCACATGAGGAAAAACAAGACTCCATACAGGTCGCTACCTAGTTGATCTAATTTGATCTACTTTTAGGCTGATACATTTGGAAAACAGGATCCACACAATGGAATTATGCCATACAGTCATTATGTCATGGGTTTGGCTAATCCACCAAGGACATCAGGCTTCCTACTGAGGGAAATCACAAAGATAAGAAAAAGTCAACACAAGGTATGTGATAATGAGAGCAGTGATATGCACATTCAAACACGACATAGTTTTCTATGAGGAATTTTCCTCAGTGTTAGACTGAACATTAAAAATATTATTAAGATCTTTTTATTTAATAAAGAGCAGTCTTTCCATACTACAGAATGTCCATAATAGAGAATTCTATGTAATCATTACAAATTGAGAGTAGATTAATAAGGAAAATGCTCAACTAAATAATATCAGAATAAAGAAAAAAAAGAGAAGTAGATTAATACATATGATACTCTTAACATTTTGTAAAATTTATTTCATTTATTCTACAGCCAGAGACACAGAGATGGGACTGGGGAGTGGGAATGACCTGCCCGTGGCCCGTGGCTGGATTACTCCTGACTTGGGCTCCACAGCTGAGGTCAGAGCATGGAACTCAGTCCAGGTCTCGCACTTGGGTGGCAGAGACCCAAGCATCTGAGCCACCACCCACTGCCTCCCAAGTGCACATTTACAGGAAGCTGGATCAGAAGTGTAGACAGGTCTTGAACCCAGGTATTCTGACATGGGACATGGGCATCCTAAGCAGTTTTCCCAACCACTACACCAAATGCCTGGCCCTGTGATACTGTTCTCTGTTTTGCTTTGTTTTATTTAGCCTCACAAAGCTATATTGCACTTCTTTTTTTTTTTTAATATTTCACTTCTAACCATCTTTTTAAAATATATAAAAATACAAAACCAGGTAAGAATGACTATATTTCTGAGAAGATAAGAATTTAGCGTTATGCATAATGTAGCTTTTGTACACACTTGATCTTAGCCAAAAGTCTGAGAAGCAGTAATGTAGTTTTTTTAAAAGAGGGCAAGAATTTAGCCTAGCAGCTAAGATGTCCATGTTCTTCAACAGAATACCTTGGTCAAATTCCTGGATCCAACTCCTGATTCTAGCTTCCCATTAATGCATACCTGCTAATGAGCCTTGGGAAAGCAGTGGACAGTGGCCCAAGTACTAGGGTTCCGGCAATTCACGTGGGAAACCTGGATGGAGTTCCAGGCCCCTGGCTCTGTCTTGGCAGACATTTGGGGAGCAAGCCAGTAGATGGAAGATTCTCTCATCTCTTTTCTCTCGTGCCTCTCTCTCTCTCCTCTCTCTCTCTCTCTCTCTCACACACACACACACACACACAATTTAGCTTTCAAATAAATAAATAAACTTATAAAAAATAGTATGGAACTTAATAAACAAACCCAAACAAATGAATACAAATGAGTAAGATCTGTATAGTTTATTAACATCTATACCCTACTTGTGATAGTAAGAAAAAAGTTTTTCAAATGTTGCCACTGGAGGAAAGTGGGTTAAAGTATACAAGGAATATGCTCAGGAATATATCATTATGTCATTAACACATCAACAGAAAATTCACATTACCCATGTTAATTCTGAAACAGGATAGTGAGATCATCTAGCAATATAGGAAGAAGTAATGCAGTATTTCAACATCTTCATTCTAGTCATTCTAAGACTTCATAACAGTGGAACTGGTAGATCTTACTGATTAAATTAAAATTTTGGGAGGGATTGTTTCAAGCCAGAGATGATCATTTTTGAGGTAGTTTTCAATGACATAGTGCTTTGAAATGAGAGCCAGATCATCCTAGCCAGGCACATGATAAACATGGGTGGAAGGAGAGTCAGGAAGAGGAAGAAAAAAATCAGTTTTTTTGAACTACAACTTTTCAAACTAGGATGCTTAACAATTCCATCTTAACACTGACTTAATACTAGAAATTTAGGCCAATTAATTGGTAAGATAACTGGAGAATAATGGTGATAATTATGGGATGCACCAACATTTATCTAACAATTACACTAATCATAATAGCCATTATTTAGCAAGCACATACTATGTGCCTGGCATTGTGCTAGAGTCTTTTTGTCAATGACTAAAATTCCTCACAGCAATCTTAGGTGAAACGCAGCCTCTGTTGGATCTCGTACTTTATTCAAGGTCACATAATTAGAAAGTGGCGGATTTGACTTTGAACTGGGTTTCTGTGGTTCTAAGGCTTGTGTGTGTTTCACTGCTCTACATGCACAGTCAAGAAACACCTGACATTATGGAACACATCTGCAGGCTAGGGGTGGTAGGAGTAGAAAATGAGGGCAGATGAACACTGACCTGCTTGTAGGTTCCATCCAGCAAAGTGTCCAGGTGCTGGAGTGGGGCGGGCGTCTTATCTTTGAACCTTGCTAACAGCCGGCGCTGAATGGCCCGGAACTGCACAGCTCTTTCAGATAGGAGTTCCTCTAACTTTTCACCATTTTTCCGCAGCTACAACAAAGAATTTCTTAAATTCAGGTCAAATAGGCACAGCTAAATGTATTTAAAGTACGAATACAGGGAATAACAATTAAAATTTTGAAAAAGCCATAAAGGATTTTAAATTTTTTTTTTTAGAGTCAGAGAGACACACAGAGAAAAAGGAGACAGTGAGAAACATAGAGAGAACTCTCATCCACTGTTTTATGACCCAAATGCTTGAAATCATGAGGGCCAAACCCTGGAGTCTGGAATTCAAAGCAGGTCTTCGACACAGGTGGCAAGAACTTAATTACTGCTGCCATCCCTGGAACCCCCAGGTCTGCATTAGCAGAAAGCTGGAGTGAGAAGCTGGAGCTGAGTACTGAGTCTAGAATTACAACATGGCACGTAAGCATCTCCACCAGCATCTTATCTAAATAGCCACCCCAAAAAGGGAATGAGGAAGTTTAAGTGCACTACATACTTGAATTAAAACAATGTGACATGTGGTACATGAAGACATAGATAACACAGTGAAATAAATAAAATGGGAATGCAGTAAAGGTGACCCCATCACAGTGGGGAATGATGGAATACTCAATAAATGTTTCATGACAACTTTTTACATAGAGAAAAATATGAATTTTCCCCATTTTTTACAGCAAAATAAGTTGCACAGAGATCAAAAGTTTAGATGCAATAACAGCACTAGAAAAATTAGAATTTTCTTGCAATTCTAGCATGGGAAAGTCCTTTATGAGTCAAAAGCCAAAAGATGCACACAAAAATATACATACACACACTAGCGGTAAATTGCCAACTGAAAACAAGGCCGAGGCAGGCATTTGGCCTGGTGGTTAAGATGCCAGTTCGGATACCTGTGTCCCACAACAGAGTGCCTGTGCCTTGACCTGGCTCCTGATTCCGGGCTCGGGCTGCTGCAGACCACGGAAGGCAGCCGTGAGGACTCAAGATCAGATTTCTGTCCCCCACATGTGAGACTTGGATGAGGTTTGCAGCTCCTGGCTTCAGCAGCTACTTTGGCTACTGTGGGCATCTGGGGAGTAGACTAGAGGATGGACACTTTATCTCTTGCTCTCTCTGTCTCTGTTTCTCTGTCTCTCTTAAATAAAAACAACTTAAAAAAAAAAAAAAGTAAAACTGAATATCTGATTCTACGTGGTTAAAAAACATTATAACAGGCCAGCGCCGTAGCACAGTAGGTTAATCCTCCGCCTGCAGTGCCGGCATCCCATATGGGTGCTGGTTCTAGTCCTAGCTGCTCTTCTTCTAATCCAGCTCTCTGCTATGGCCTAGGAAAGCAGGAGAAGATGTCCCAAATCCTTGGGCCCCTGCACCCACATGGGAGACCAGGAAGAAGCACCTGGCTCCTGGCTTCAGATCGGCGCAGTGCCATCTGTAGCAGCCATCTGGGGAGTGATCCACAGGAAGGAAGACCTTTCTCTCTGTCTCTCCCTCTCACTGTCTGTAACTCTACCTCTCAAATAAATAAATAAAATCTTAAAAAAAAGAAAGAAAGAAAACATTGTAAGAGGGGCAGGAACTGTGGCATAGTGGATTAAGCCTCTCCCTGAGGTGCTGGCATTCCATATGAGCATTGGATCTAGTCCAGGCTGCTCCTCTTCCAATCCAGCTCTCTGCTGTGGCCTGGGAAAGCAGTAGAAGATGGCCCAAGTCCTTAGGTCCCTGCACCTTCGTGGGAGACCTGGAAGAAGCTCTTGGCTTTGGATCTGCCCAGATTTGGCCATTTGGGGAGTAAACCAGTGGATGGAAGACTTTTCTCTCTGTCTCTCCCTCCCTCTCTCTCTAACTCTGCCTCTCAAATAAATAAGTAAAACCTTAAAAAGCAAAGGAAAAACAGTATAAGCAAATTGATAAGACAGAAAACTGCAAAAACTAATGACAACAATCACATTATGCCCAAAGGGCAAGTGTGTCACTTAGCAGGTTAGACTGCCACTTGAGACACCTGCATCCCATACTGGAGCGCCACCTCCAGTCCTGGCCACTCCGTTTCCAACCCAGCTTTGCGCTAGCACATCCCGGGAAGCGGCAGAGAAGACCTGGATGAAGTCAGTGGCTCCTAGTTTCAGCCTGGCCCAGCCCTGGCTGTTGCAGGCATTTGGGGAGCAAACTAGGAGACTGAAGATCCCTTTTCCTGTGTCTTTCCCTCTCATTCTCTCAGCTACTCTTCCTTTCAAATAAATAATCATTTTTTAAAAAAGTGTTATACCCATAATATCTAGAAAGCATCTACAAATTACTATGGAAAATTTAACAACCCAAGAGAAATCAACAAGAAAAAGAGTAACAATCCAATAAGATTTACATAACAATTACGGGGCCAGCATTTTGGCATAGCTGGTTAAGACTATGCCTGGGAGGCTGGCATCCCACATGCTTGTTGGTTTGAGTCCAGCTGCTCCACTTATGATCAAGCTTCATAGTAAAGCTCCTGAGAATGCAGCAGAAGATGGCCCAAGTCTCCAGGACCCTGACCTGTGTGGGAGACCTCAAGGAAGCTCCTGTCTTCTGGCCATTTGTGGCCATTTGAGCTGTGAACCAGCTGGTGGAAGATCTCTCTGTCTCTCCTCTCTCTGTATTTGCCTTTCTTTCTTTTTTTTTTTTTTTTTTTTTTTTTGTGACAGGCAGAGTGGACAGTGAGAGAGAGAGAGAGAAAGGTCTTCCTTTGTCGTTGGTTCACCCTCCAATGGCCACCGCGGCTGGCGCACCGCGCTGATCCGATGGCAGGAGCCAGGTACTTCTCCTGGTCTCCCATGGGGTGCAGGGCTCAAGCACCTGGGCCATCCTCCACTGCACTCCCTGGCCACAGCAGAGAGCTGGCCTGGAAGAGGGGCAACCGGGACAGAATCCGGCACCCCGACCGGGACTAGAACCCGGTGTGCCGGCGCCGCAAGGCAGAGGATTAGCCTAGTGAGCCGCGGCACCGGCCCTGCCTTTCAAATAAATAAATCTTTAGGACAAAAATGTTCTTGAACATACAAACTTGGACCTCAAAATCCTTCTTTTAGAAATTTATTATAGAGACATCTTGCAAAAAATTATGTATAAAGATATTCAATATAGAATTGCTTAGATTTTTAAAGAAATATATTAATAATCTAAAATCTAAAGGAATATCCATCAATAAGGGAACTAGTTAAATAAAGAAAACTACTTTGTAAGACTACCGGATGCCAACATGTTGTGCTATCCAAAGATGCATTAATTGAAGCAAAAATATACAAAGATGCATTTCATTAAATAAAGCAAAAAATATACAGACTAGTAGAAAATGTGAGAGTTTTCATGTGTTTTTCTTAAAGAAAGCCATATATTAACATAGTTGTGGCTGCATAAAATATTTCTAGAAAGAAACAGAAGAAATTGGATACTAAAGGTTGCCCCCAAAGAGAAGATTGAGTGGCTAGGCAAAGAGAATTAGAAATGATTCTTAATTATAACTCATCTCATAACTCTAAAATATTTATTTCAGTAATATAAATGTATATAAAAACATATTCTCAGTACTCAGATATCTGTCAGTTATTATTCCTTTTCACATGTAAGCCAGCAGCAAAGAGTTAATTTTCACATGTCACAGTCTGAACATTTAACAGATATTTGTTAGATTCTAGGACCAAGTACTGTTCCAGGCAGTAGGAATTATAGCAAAAAGTAAAACAGACAAAACTCTCTGCCTTCATGGAGATTATAACAAAGGACACTTGGATTCCAAAGGCCATTTTGATTCAAAGTTTCAAAACATAGTTTAATTTTAATGGCAGAAATCATTAAAATTAAAGGGCAGAAGTCATTAAAATTGGGGATAGATAACAAAGGAAGTAGAATTGTACTCCCTTTATTTTCTACCTATAATTCACCATATTCCCTAGGTTCCTCTCTGAAAAGAAAACACCCCTACTATGGAAACTCCAGGGGACAAGTAAGTATCTAATAAGGAAGGAAAATTATTCCAACCCAATTAGTCAGCAAGATACCATATTCTCTATTTCAAATATTACAAATACATACTTAACTGTAGTCTTTCTATGGACCATCTTTTGCAAACCACTAGACCACAGTTTTGTACAGTGAAATAAAAATTTCTTAAAATATATCCCAGAGGATTCTAAAGGTTCTTAATCCTTAATACCAATAGATACTCCCCAAATTGTCAATTTTGGTGCCACAATTTAGTACAAACATACTGTGCCATATAATCATCACAGATGAAGGAAAATAATTTGATAATGATGTAATTATTTATAATTGTATTGTACACACCTGAAAATTTCCATTATGTTCACAATGGATTAAAAAAACTATAATGGTATAATGTTCTTGAATGTTCAAGGTGAAAAACCAATGCTCATCAATATTCAAGGGATGACTGACCAGCTACATGCCAAATCATCTCTCTCCCTCTTCTCTCTCTCTTTCACACACACACACACACAACATAGCTTACAAACTGAAATGTCTACTGATTCCTTTAAACAGAGTCATTCTAGGAATCAATGCTTATTTAAACCCTACTCAGAATTCTTCCAAAATTCCCCTTCTGCAATGCTCAGATAGTCTGTTTATAAACTCTGTAAGTAAGCGGACTCTGGCAGCTTTTAAACAATTACTGTCAGTGCCCAGTGCATTTACAAAACATGACTTTGGGTTATTTCCAAATATCCAATCAGCACTCATAGGATGAAGATTTGCTGCTATTGAGATACTCACTGGAATCTAACATAGGCCCCAAAGGCACTTCAAAGAAGACATGCAGAAAAACTCAAGGCAACAAAGTCATTGTCAGATCTCATTTCTTCAGACATTTAATCAGTTAGCATTTACTAAGCACTCATTTGGCCAGGTACTAGAGAATATTTTCAGTGGTTAACCCTCGTTCAGATGCACAAGCTCTGGTGTGCTTGTTAGAAACAAAAAATAAAATCACTTTACTTTATAATCACACCTCATTTATGGCCTGCTAGAATTAGCTAGCCAAATGGCCGCCGATAAGCTCAAACAGTTTTAACACTGGGTTATTGGGGTTAAGGGTTAAGTCCCCATATGGGAGAACTAAATCAGCTCTGTTCCAAGGCCAGACCACATGCTTAGCTCCAGGCAGCCACTCTGTAAATATCTGCAACTGATCACAAACTGGGCAAGAGGGCAGGAATGGATTCACAAAACCCACCATCCACACACTGGACAACTCAGCCTGCAGCCTCCTAGCGTGTACACAAAAATTCTTAACTGCAGCAGCACGTGTGTCTGCCTCACACGATTTAAGGATTATAGATGATATTAGTGATGATTATACACACCTCAAAGTGACGATCAATCAACTCAAAATACTCTTGCAGGGGCATAGAGCCAGAAAAAGAACATGCGAAATCTTTGATTCCCTGCTTTTCAAAATATTCTTGAAGGCGCAGAATAAGCTCATTTGTTATGAGCCAAAGATCTTCAAACTGTTCACTCTGAATGCGGTATCGTTCTGAGAGAAAACACAATAAGAAATGTTTAGTAACACACAATTACAAGCTGAACCTACTTCAACAATCACCAACCCTGACGTGAATACCAAAGCTAAAAGGAAAAATATTTTTAATCGTATAGATAAGACTTCCATGGTTTCATAAAAATATTTCCATTTATTGTAATTTTCTGCATCAACAACTTAACATTTCAAATTTAATTCCAAGACAGGTGGTCACAGTGGAAATCTGTTGTCCTTCTTACTATGTATCTTACAGTAGGCTTTAGTACAATAAAAACATCCCAATTTAGGTCCTTTAAAAACCATTAAACAGTAAGACAACACCTAGTTGCAAAAGTACAGCCCAGTCTGATTAGTTTATTTCAGGATATTATGCGAGATGAAATTTATTTTTTAGAAAGTTCCACATCATGAACACTGCAAACAGCATAAATCCCCACAACAATGATTCAAGTTTCCTATTTTCCTGGTAGGTCTTTTATTTGAAGAAAGATTTTACAGTCAGACCCGTCCCTACACAAAAACTTTGCTTCCCTCTATTTTCTGAAACCTCAGCTCATAGATTCCTGGTCTATTCCCTACTCCAAATAATGTTGATAACATTGATGATGACACAGTGGCAGTAAAAACACCTATGAGAAGAGCAACTATTATTTGTTGGGTGCTAACCACGTATCAAGCACTGTGAGTGTGAGAGATCTTTTTTGTAAAAAGGGAAACAAAGCACAGAGAATTTCAGACAACTTGCCAAAGATCACAAAGTAAATTAAATGCCTGCACTAGAATTCATAATATACATTCTTCCCAACCCATCCAAATCTTGCCTATTCTTCAGGATCTGGCTCTAATCTCCTCTACCTAAGAAACCATGATTTCTGTACCACCTGCAGAAGCCCAACATGCATCAGATGCTGTCCTGAGCACTCTCATTTAAACCTAAACAGATCTATGGGGGGTGGGGGGGAGTGCTAGCTCAATTCACTGAAAGCCAATCTAATCACAAAAGCATTTTTAATTAATTTCCAAGGTCAACCAGCCAGTTAGTAACAGAGCATGGGCTGGAACTCTAGGCATTAATACGAAGATTAGCTATTAACTGTGACTGCCTCACTGCGTCTCTCAATATACAGAACTAATATTCCAAAATTCACTAGCCACTTCATTGATGATCAGGACTTATTTAACTTCTCAGATGATTTGTATTCATTCCTTTAAAAGAAATTTACACTTACTGACATCTGGAATTACATCTCTTTCCATTTAATTAACTGTTATTGAATATTTATCATTGACAATGTCATAAAAAAAGAAATGTTGCAAGTACAAAGATGAATTCAGTCTTTTTGTTAATGGAATTGGAGGATTGGGTAGGGTAGCAGGGCACATAGATATGCAAAATATTTGCTTATATTTCTCATGATACCTTCACAAATTCTATGAATATATCACAACTTCAAATTGATTATTAGGACTTCAATTTGAAATTGATAGCCAGAATTCAAGAGTGTATCTCCTCCCATTTCTTTAGTCAGGGTAAGCCTCTCTTCTCTAGTGCTGTCCTATTATTCCCCTTGAAGCTTCCTCAGACATCCTCTCCCCATCCCCACCCCCGTCTTACTCTGGATGCTGGCTCCCACCCCTGATGTTGATCAGATATTGTCTTCATTTCTCCCCACCAAAGATACTAGGATCAAAGTCAGGGACAGGGTAACTTCATGAGGTACCGCCAAGACAGATATTTGATTCCAGCTCAGTGCGGCCTCCAGGTCCTCACCATTTTTCTCTCTTGGGTCAGATGTCTGGCTTTTAGCTCAGGGCTACCTCCAGTATCCCATCTTTCTTTCTGAGCATCTGTCCATCTGTTGCCCTGAGTCACAATCCATAACTATACCTGCTATTGGTTTCCTGAGGGAAGAAACTGAGGGTTACCAGCAACATCTCTTCTTGCAACTTGAGATACCCCAGATCACTGGCTTCATGTCTGGTTGTTCCAAGCCACATGGATACAACAGATGAAGGCGAAGCTGCACACTGCAGCAATCTTGGCCCAAAGGGCAGCAAGAAGTGGTGGTGACTCTGCACCACAGAGCCTAGATGTGGTTGTGGCAGGCATGAGTCAGAGAGAGATCTTCTGTCCATTGGTTCACTCCCCAAATGGCCACAACGGCCGGTGCTGGGCCAGGCTGAAGCCAGGAGCCAGGAGCTTCATGCAGGTCTCCCGCATGGGTGCAGGAGCCCAAGCACTTGGGCCATCTTCCACTGCTTTCTCAGGCACATTAGCAGGGAACTGAATTGGAAGTTGAGCAGGAAGGACTCAGACCAGCACTCATATTGGATGCCAGGACTGCAGACAGTGGCGTAACAATCTGGCCCCTTAAGTTTTTTTATTAAAAGGCACATATACATGAAAGGGAATGAACACATGAAGGCAGAAATATCAGAATCGAAGAACTGTAAAGGGTCTTGTCCAACCTTATAAAGCCTGGAGGGAGCTCTTCTCTGAGGCTCTTAGTAGATACATAGATAAACTGTAAAATTTATTATATTAAAATAAAACCATTAATAGGAAGTTATCTCATTCAACTATAATTTTTAATAGAAATATGTCACAATATATTAACAAGAGACAGACATTTAAAAGAACTATATCAACTGCTCCCAGGGGTAAAAAAATATACATTGCAAGTCAGTAAAGGAACAAGCCATGGGGATATTGGTAGGAAGAGCATTCCAAGCCAAGGCAACTTTAAGTACAAAGGCAATAGACCAGTTTATGTTAAGTCACCATAGAGACTGCAAGAAAATTTGGAAACAAGGCACATGCAGGTATGTCCAAGGCAAGTTTATCCACCAAGAATTGATGGGAAAATTTATCAGGATTTACCACTGGGGAAAAACAGATGGCATTCTCATTAGGATACCCCATGGTACCCTTGGCTGGCCAAAGGCTAAATTTGGCTGAATTGTTGTTGGGAAAGGCAAACTCAATTATAACCTACCCTGCCATGGCACAGGATGTGCTGGGCTTAGTCCTCACTGCCAGCTTACACTTGGCATGTGTGCCATAGGAAGGAAGGCAGGGATGTTGTGGACTGGCCAAGAAAGGCAAGTGTCCCAAACTTTTCCACCAAGGAGGGAGAAGAAGTATTTTGTCCCAGCTAAATAAAAATGGAGCTCCTTCCCTTTTCCTGGCAGACAATCAAATCTCTAATCTAAAAACTGAAACGGGGGCAAGTATAAGATTTTCCCTTCTCCTAGGAAAACATGAACTTTGTGAGCAGGGGGCCTATGAACTCTCTACGATACCCAGCTCCATCAAAGTCTTCTCCTATCTAAAGATAAGAGTAAAGTAACCAGAAAATCGTGGCAGTTGATTCAAAGAAAAAAGACAAATCAGAGGGAACAAGTTACCTTTGTGAAAGAGGTAATTCAGGACTATCCTTAGTTCATACTTTCAGTAAGATTCAAGGTAACACTATATAAAAATAGAGCATTCAATGGTAAGTACCAGAGACAATGGTGAACACCACATACCTAGTCCTGTCCTCATCCTAGTGAGAAGGACAGCAATTAAGTAAAGAACAGATAAAACAGAAACTATAAAAAGGATTATGATACAGACTTTTTCAAAGGCACTGTGATAAAGACTAAGGGGTATTCTTTCTTGAGTAACTATGGGCAGGTAAGGACACATTGATGTGATGTCAGCATTGGTACTAATAGTAAAAATGATGGAAATAATATTAGCACCTAAGATTTACCTAGCACTTACAATGTACTAAGAAATTGCCACATGCTTTTTAGGGCTTACCTCATTTGGCTCATGCATAATACTGTCATACTATTTTACTGCCATTTTATATACAGAAACAAGCAATTTTTCCAAAGTTAATCAGATAAATCATAAACCAGAGCTCAAATATGCACTATAAGTCTGAACCTAGATCCCACATTGCTAATCATTTTGTGCATAAAGTTAGGACCTTAAGGACGGTAGGCTTAGTTCAGAAGAAAGAGCAAACACAAAGTCTCACATAGAAAAAGTGGGACATGAACTAGGAACCAAAAGAAGGCCAGAGTGAGGAAGACTCCATTGATTTGGGCTCTGAATTATATTAAATAAATTGAGCTTTGACATTAATTTTTTAAAGTTCTATGAAATTTTTGTTTATAATTATAATTATATAATCACTATAATTATAAAACAAAAATTATATAGACCATATTGAAGGAATTCTCTTTGTGAATATTCATAAGAAAAAACATCATCCTCAACTCAGCATCAAGAGACTGTGCATCTGCTAAACAGATTATCTGACTTTATATTTTGGACTTTCTGAAAGAACTACAATATTTTCTCATTAGTTTAGGTTGCTAGCATCTTAACAATGGTACAGTATGATATCTGAGTGTTAATCTTATTCTTACCTTCATTTACTTCCTGCCTTTATTTTCTCTGTGTGTGTGTGTGTGTGTGTGCTCCAACTATTTATTCTCTCCTTTCATATTTTGGAAACTTTTAAAACTCTTTGAAATCCTTTAAGGAAAAAGGGAATGGCACAAGAAACAGAGAAAGAGACAAAAACAAACAGAGGCAAGATCAAGAAAAGTACAGAAAACAGAAGTGTAAAGGGTGGGCAAGGAGAGGGGCAGTGTTTGTTGCATACAGCAATAAGACACTGTGTGAAGGTAAACTAGTATAGCCATTGTAGAAAACAGAATGGAGATTCCTCAGAAACCTGAAAATAGATCGACCATATGACACAGCCATCCCACTCCTGGGAATCTATCCATAAAATGAAATCAAATCAGCAATGAAGAGTTATCTGTACCCCCATGCCTTTGCCCTTAAATTCACCCAGAAGTCCAACAACCAAAGAATAGATAAACAAACTGTGGTATATATACACTATGGAATATCATTCAGCAGTAAAAAAGAATGAAATCTTGTCTTTCACAACAAAATGGATGCAATTATTCTTAAATGGAAACAATTA